TGAAAATCATAAAGCATGATGAAAGTATAAATCGGAAAACTATGTTCGTAAATGGCGTTTAAATTGGAAATATAAGGTAGAACGTTTTCAGAAAGAATGTTCATTGAAATCATTTTCTCTAAGTTGCCTGAATTTTTCTAAAAAAAATTCGAGATAAGCCTTTTCCATTGTGCACGACAGTATGCATAGCCATGAAAATAACGAACGCATTTTACATATTCTAGTTACACTTTTCCCCATACTTGGCTACGGTAGTCCTATTGCGGTTACCGTGTACGAAATAACGTACAATACCATATCTAACCATTTACAGATACAGTAAATTGGGTTTCTTAAGCAGGCACTATTCAAAGCTCCCTCTCTTCCATTCGTCTCGATATACATATTACATTTAAATATCAATCAATTACAAATTACTACACATTTGAACCTCTTTTTAAAGCCTTTCTCATTATGGGATCGGTATTCGTTATTGTAGGGGGATATATTTAAGTAAAACATATAGGTACGAGTCTTTCGTTCGTTTGTAACGAGTACATATACCACATGACGATTTAACAAAGGTGAACGAATCAAAACGGTGAAAAACAGTATTATCGTCTCCGTTCAGGCGAAAGTTTAAAGCTTATTCTAATTAAAGGTAGCGTGTAGGTCTTCACTTCTGGGCGGCTTGCATTAACATAGTTGCCTTTCTAAATGATCAGTTTTAAAAATTAATTAATGCCTATCTGTCGTTTATGTTTTACATGTAGTATTCCTTATATACATTTAGTGGCAGAGGCTGTATGTCTGCGAGGTGTAAGCTTTCATATTATTATTTTAGCTTAGTACATTCAACGATAATTCGATGGCCTGATTAAGAAAGAACCCTCGACTACCTGGAATGCAATTTTTCTCATTTCTTTCTTCTTTCAATGATTAAAAATTATGTACGATACGAACCGAAAGGAACATACACATATTTATATTTGAAAACGTATATCTCGTTAGCAAGACGTGTTAACTAACACATGTTCATGTAATAATGGCTTCTTTGGTAATAATCTACGCGTTACAACGTACGATGCTAAGAATACCCTGTTGTCCAGACTGATATAATTACGATAAAGACAAAATATCAAATCTGAGGTCTAACGATTAACCACACAGCTGTTTGCGTTTCGTAATTTTTCGTTCACGTTGTTCTAAACAATAGTAAAGAAACGATCACGGTATATAAATGTACGTATTGTTGAACTGTGTGTGTGTATGTGTGTGTGCAAATGGATTCTGGCTTTTTCTTAAACAGACGATCGACGCTTAATATTTCTACTGCCATACACCGCTATATACAGTCTACTAATACGTATATTCATTATCATTTTTTTTTTTTTTTGTTTGCATCCGTAAACGTATATAATCCCTAAGATTCGATTAATCCTAGCTAGGAAGCCAATTACTTTGAGTATCGTATTATATTCATACGACTTACTGCACAAATCAATACAGACTACTCGCGCTGCATGTATCGTTTTATATAAAAAGAACTAGGAATTTTTATAGTCGTTACTCTTATGCGGTGACTTCGAGTGTGTATATACCTGTGTGTACTCGTATGTGTCTCTCTCTTTGTATGTGTTTCTTTGTTTCTCCAATGCAGTGCTTCATTATTTTTTTTTTCACATTTTTCTTATTACCATCACTAAGTATATTATGTATATATACATATACACACACACATATATTATATACGTATATTATGCATGTATATATACATATAGCTCGTTAAAAAAAAAAACAGATCTTTTTTATAGTCGTGTTTCCGCAGAGGGAGAATCAGTTTGGCAGTAGTATCCCACAATATTCTCCCGTAACTATCGCAATCGTGTTTTTTAGCTGGTTAGAATGTTGCGTCAAAAGGAAAGAAAAACAGAAGAGAATGAACGGAGCAAGAATAAAACGAGTTCGCGTGACGATAAGCGATTAACCTTTGATATATTTCGTCAGTATTGTATGGTAAAAAAAACCTTGGACGGTGAGCAACGCACCGTGTTCCGTTATTGTTCGAATGCAACCGCGCATGGTACATCACCTTTCTCGCCATTTTCTCTTCTTTTCTTTTTTTTTTCAAAGTATCGCCGCCCGAGCAACGGAAAAGTAGAGCGCAACCGCCATTATTTGTTAATTTGAACGCGTTCAAACAGAGGGCCATGTAACGTAAATACAGTAGATTGAGAATCACTCTTACGAAACAGAACGACGGATAGTTACGTTTTTCTACCACACTGTGACATACTAGCCGCGTGATTCGTGCGTAAAAATCGGTATACAACGGCTTCGTGTCCGAAAAAACGCTCTTTGGTTCGTTTAAAGAGAGATACAGTTTCGGTATATAGGAAAAAACTTACTGCTAAAAATAAATCTACAAAAGTAATTGATTATTTTTTTTTGTTCTTTCTTTCTTTCATTTTTCTGCTTCCTTCTTCGTTTCTGTTCACCGACCGTGCGAGGACGGAAAGAGACATGTAAAGAATACGCGTAGAAAGAGAATCGAAAAAAGGACGTCAGGAAAGCGTGTTCGAGACCTTCGCCACTTTCCTTCTTGTGCAACTGCGACACACTTCTTCGACATACACACCTCTTTTTTTTGTTCTTTTTCGTATTTTTTTTTTTATTTAATCTGTTACTCCGCCTGTGTCTCCGGTTTCGCTCTTCCTCGTGATTCGCTCTCGTGTCGATTCTCTCGCTTCACCAGCCGTCCTGTGTTTGTGTGTGTCGTCACGCAAAAGGAAATTTACTCTGTTCATCATCACTTCAGGGTCGCGTTTCTCATCACCGTGCAAACTTTTTTTCTGCACTTGTAAACGACGTCGCGGTGTGGAAAACGTGTCGTTCGAATATACTCGTGTTCTCGTTAAATGATTCCATAAATCGACGTACATAACCTTGCTATTCCTTTTTCCAATGCTAGACAAATTGGGAATTCACTTGCACGATATTTGTTCATACCAGAACAGCGAATAATTAGCAATTTTCACGAAGATAAACGTAAAGTGAGAAAGGAAAAAGAACGATCGTTACGTATGTGTAATATTTTGTAGTTAACAACGATACACGATGGATTCAACGATACACTTTCCTGGCGACGCGTAAAACTTTGAACGTGATTCGCTTATTGCGGCCTGGTGTGCTCGTGAGGTCAGTAGAATCTTTAGAAACCTTAGCTCCGGTCTGCGGACCTATCCTTTAAAAAACGAACATACGCTTAGTATTGTATATACTTTGATTTGGTCATTCGTGTTTTATTATGTTCTTATTAATCCAGTTATTTATTTATTTTTCATTCTCTTATACGATTTAAATCTCGCGTAGTATTGGTCACTAAAATAATTCATCGCTCGTGTACAGTCTTTCGTAATTATATTCACGAAGAGGAGACACGAATTATCGTACCCCCTTTTCTATTCTAAATAGGATAATTCTGTCCGTTTCCATGGATTTTCCTACGGTTTCCGTCTATCAAGAACTAACAGAAACGTCCATCAATTAACCCTATCTGCTAAAAATACAGCGGAAATACGATTCTAATCAAGAGTGGCAAACGTCTGATTCTAATTCGATCAGCGAGTTCATGGAACGGATGTTCACAGAGGATGGTAGATTAATTCAACGAAAATAGAGATTTCTTCATAGGGGCGTTAAATGAATGTATGCTAAATTCGATACAGCGTGAACGTCTTCTAAGGGGAAGCAAAAGAATTAATCACTGGAAGAATTTCTAAAAGAATCCTTCTAAAAATTTGCAACTTAAGAGAGTAACTCTGTAATCCAATCTTTTCTCTCTCATTTCGCAGGATTTCTTGCAATATTATGAAAAAAATTGAGAAGATACCTAGAACACATTTTTTTAAATTTTACTTATGGAAAAAATTCTTAAAAATCGGGGAACAAAAGAAATTCAAATTTTTCTCTCTCACTTCACAAGGTTTCTTGCAATATTAACAAAAATTGAGGAGATGCTTGGAACACATTTTTCTTAAATTTCACCCGACGATGGAAGAAATTTAAAAAAAATTCCCCAAATCGTTCCATCGAATGCTGGTCAATTATATCGAAAATTTCTGTGTGGTATCTGTTACTGCGCCTAATTTAGGCGAACAGTCACGGGATGTGACAACAAAGGGGTGACGCAAAGCTTACCTGCGTACGACGTATACCACATGAAATTTCCAAATTGCCCGCCTTTGTGCATTTATTTCATCGTTACTCCATTCAACTAAATCGATAACCCGTCCTGTGATTCTTTTGTGGCTACATACTTTAGGCTTGCCTCAGCTACTCACAGTTCTGGTACCGTGTTAAATAAAGCGGAGTTAAAATACTGCGCGAGAATTTGAAATTTATGCTCGTCGCTAATTAATAAATACTAAAAGCTGACGAAAAAAAATATAAAATTTACTCCTGAAAATGAGAACAAAAGATCTATAGATCCAAATCTCTCAAGTTTACCAATAAAAGAAAAAAAACACACAAAGAAGAGAGAAATTTTGAGGTGGGTGAGGAACGCCGTTGCACTGGTTTCACCTCAAGTTCGCTCGGAATAATACAATTGTTTTTGTAAGAAATACGAGATTCCGGCGGCGAAGTGGTGGCCTGGAATTTGTCACCCAGGAGGAGAAAGCGCGCGGGTACCTGAGCCCTTTCCCCGGAAAGTCGAACGAGGTGGCTCCAACGGTTTTTCGAGACGGACGCTGGAAACCTTAAGAATCGCTTAGGAATACAGAATAAGTTATTTTTGGGATACCGCACTATCCTGATTTTAATTCTTTGTTTTCGAGTGGGGCTTACATTTTGTTCGCCAATCGTCCCGGCGGGTGCGTTTCAATGGCTGGTAAAGGAAAAACTGACCGGAGGTGTAGGCGTACTTAGGACAGGGAGCCAGGAGCAGAGATAGATAAAGATAGAAGTGGAGAAAGTTGCGGAAACGGAAAATCCTCGTGCGAACCTGGATGCCACATGTGCGCTTCTTAGGCCACTCGAGGACGAAGGCAAGTCTTAACCCGGGGAGAGACAAAAGAGCGGAAGGAGTTGGAAACGAGAAAGTTCGCGTGGAAGAACAGAAGAAGGTTCGGTAAGGGCTTGTTGGCAGCGACGTACCCGCCACAATTTAATTAAACAAATATGAACGATGATCAATTCACAGCGTTCCTCGAATAACACGGTGGAAAGAAAAAGCTGAAGAAGAAAGAAGGACACGAAACGAAATTAAAAATGAATTTTCCATTCGCTCGTATTCCCTCCGTTTTCAAAGTCGATTTCCAGCCTTTTGTCGGAAGAGAAACACCTGAAAACTCGATGGAATATACGATTCGAAGTGGAGAGAAACCGAGTCTGAGGGGAATACGATTGTTCTTGTTTGTGAAAAGAGGCGAGCACGCTTGATGGAGGATCGAGATGAAAAATGAAGAGAAACGAGCACCCTTGGAGGCAGGGTTTTTTTTTTTTTTTGATCGAAGAACAAGGGATTCGAAAGAAAAGGAAGTCGATCAGAACGCGAACCTCCCCTCGGATTCGCGAGAGGCAGGTTTACACGAAAATCAATACCAACGGCGTGATATCCTTCGATACGTCTCTATAATCTACCTTCTCTATTGTCCTTTCGAGTAGATCTCACCGCCTAATCGTCTCTCGATCTCTGCATAATTATCCTGCCGGCTATTCCAACGTAGAAATTCTCTCCTCGGATCTATTTACGATGAAACGCTGTTTTTACCATCGCGAAAGGAGATTTTTACTTCGTTGTTTCAACCGATTGATGATACTTCGACGCGACGGAATTATTCGTATTTGAAGTCGACAGGAATTTCCTGATAATCGTATGTTCAATGGTAATTAGGTTTTTTCACGTGTTAATTATTAAAGATTATGCAGAAACTCGTTTGGAGACACTCGTGTTGAATTTGCGCGAAGGTTCGCGTCCGTGACCACTCCTCTTTGTACGTTCTTTTCGAGAAGAGAGAAAAAGATGGATGGATTATTCTGAGGTGTTATTCACGGGATGATACGCGTGTATAGAGAGCCACGAGTAGGTATACACTGCCGTTCGTGAGTATTAGGACACTTACCGAATGCGAGGATGAGTTGTAGGATAGTTGAGATTGAAAAAAGTCATTATTCAGGTTGGAGTGTTTTTACGAACGTAACGGGTGTCCTGGTACTTCTGTACGACAGGGTATAGCTTGACCGAGCGAAAGTGAAGCTTCTGGGAGGAGTTAGGGTGAGGGAGTGGAAGAGATCTTCGCTGTTGATTAGCCACTCGCGATAGAAAAACGCTGTTGCATTTATTGTTCCATGAAGAAAGGTGGTTTGTGACGTTATCGATGACTATAGTAGGAGCCAAATATACTCTGCTTTTTTTTTTTTATTAATATCTTCTATCTATTTTATGTTTCATGAGGACATGGCAAGTTTAGTCTAAGCTCTTAATTGTGTAAAATGAGTTAACTCGTCGTTGGTTAGACAATACTTGGGACACAGTAATTTATTTATCGAGGGATTGTTCATTTTTATTATTTTTTAATCGTATTCACATTTGCAAGAACGAAAAGAAAGTACGTCGTTATAATTCTTACTCATTTTTAATTGTAAAATAGAGAGATTCAATTTCTGTTTCAAAGGGGAACACAGTTAACAGGTGAAACACGAAACAGAAAGATTCCACAGACTCTTAACTTCCGTACACTGAATTTAGAACCAAAAGAGCGACAGAGAAAAAATAACCTTGACCGGTCGAATATATTCAGCTCAGACTATACCCCTTTCGAAATCACCGAAGACAGCGTAGTGGGGATAGAGGCTCCGCCCCCTCCGCGCTTATTGGCTCGTGCGCGACGCTTCGTTCGGAAGCTTCACGTTCGCCTGGTCAAACGGTACACGGTGATAGGCTTACTTATACACGGTGATCTCGGCGGACCGATTGCTCCTGTAGAGGAGACGGTTCGACGTGTTTCGCCACCAGTTCCATAGTCAGGTGCGCCTGCTCTGACCGCCAGCTGTTATTCCCGTGCCCGGGCTGCCCCCGTTCGACAGCCATAATCTCCTGTTGAACTCACGCATCTCGTAGTTGTTGTTCCCGTTGCTCTTCTCGCGGCTAGTGCAGTTATGGTTCCCCGATGTGGGCGTCGTTTCCTCCAGGATCAACGCGCAATGGCTGTTCGTGTCGCTGTCCGCGCCACCGTCTTGCAGATTGTTCGCCAGAAGGGGATGCCTTCCGGTGTTGCACTCGTCCGTTTGGATCAGCAACGACGCATTTCCTGCGGTGGAAAAATTGGGATAACGATCGAATAAGAGAATTTCACCACGGATTCTACGATTTAATCCCTTCACCTTTTGACGGTCTAATAAAATCGTGAATTTATATTTCACGTGTATTTCTTTAATAATCACGTCGGGTGTGATTATGTTTGAAACAAGGGATACATAAAACGTCATATTTATCTTGTCCTTTTGCAATTTCCTTCCAAAGAGGCTTTCTTAAGTTAAACAGTCGAGTATTTGACGCTTTGCCTGAGTCACACACAGGATAAATTGTCAAAGGGTTAACGCTCGTGCCCGTGTCTTACACAGAAAGTGCAATTTTGGTTAATTATTTTCTTTCACTGTTCTGTATCGCGCTGTCCCTTCTATTGCAAAAATCTAAGTCACAGCAAACTTATTTCTATACGCCTAAAGTAAGTCACAGCACTGTAACTAAATGGCAAACTTATTTCTACACGCCTAGAGAAAATTGACGAGACAAATGTGAGCGTTGAAGGGTCAAAGACTGTCTTCACGCGAAAAATCGCTGAATTGAAAATGCACCCAGAGCTCGAGAAAGAAGGACTACTAAAGAATTACAGAAAATACGACGAAAGAAAAATTGAAAGGAAACCCAGCAAAGGAGTAGAAGAAAGCCTTGATAACAAACGTGTGCTTCTGAGACTGTGCAAGATGGAAAGAAAGATTCTTAAAGCCAGAGAGACAAATGAACAGGAAATTGGAAACGTCTAAAGGAGAGCTGCTCGGTAAGTTGCCCGCGGGGCACTGCTCAGATTAGCTCGGGCACACAAAAACCAGGCGAGAATTGTTATACCATACTCTACTTGATTATTTTCAATTTTAACATTCACTCTTATCCTACTCTCCTTCTCCGAAATTTCTATCTTATTTTAATTAACAATCCCGGATTAAGGAGAAACATCGCTTTATCAGAGTGTACAAGAAAGGCTTCCACAGTTTCAAGCGACGTTCTCTTGCAAAAGGGTTCCAGATTTTCCCCAGTGAAGCTTAACTTAGGCTCGTCAAGGGGAAAGCTTTTCCCCTTCGTTACCAATATACATTCTTCATATTCATTCTCGGAGAAAAATCTGAGGATTTCTACAGAGTAGCCTTTTCTCCAGATTCTCTTTCATTCCTGAATAACATTCGTTCTCGTTATTCTTCCCGCAAAAAAAACCTTTTCACGATAAATCTCGACTCGCAAGAATGTTCTTCTCGTTACTGCGTTCAAATGAAACTAAAGGAGAAATAAAGTTGTTACAGAATAAACGATTGTTACAGAAGGTTCTGACATTTCGTTCGTCGAAAGAGGCCTTTCGTTTGCCCTAGAAAGAACCTTCGACATTTCACAATTTCCACGACCATAGTCAGTAATTCGAACGTTGAGGTAGTTATTGATGTTCATCGCGTGCAATCGGTCTTTTATCACAGTGTGCCGCGTTATCAGCGGTATAAATCAAGCTGTGCCCACGCTCGAAACGCGTCGAGATCGCACGCATCCATGCAGATAAACTCTGAGATGGCCGTTCTCTGATAACGTTACACTCGAATCGCGACGATTTTCCACAAAATAGATTAACACGTGCATCGTCAGATAGGAAGCAGGGGGGAGTAGTCGAAGATATAGAATAGTCTCCGGTAGATATATTCTCAAGTTGATCTCGAGGGGAGATAACAGATTGAGAAATACGCGATGGTTTCTTCTGAATACGCGGGAGAGACATTTTTACGATCGTTTTAGGTGACATAAACGTCCTCCCTTTCGATTTTCACGTGAACAGATTGGCGAAATGTTTCTTGTGAGTGTCGTCGAGGTAACTCCGGAGATTATTTGAAGTGCTTTATTTATAATAATGTTGGTACATGAAGTCGTGTAGTTTTACGTCCGGTGCCAAGCTTTCGCCGTAAACCCAGACGGCCCCCAATGGCGGAGGATTAGGATACGCCCAACTAGACCCTCGAAGGGTACAGGTTGAACACCTACCCGTCTAAGGGCCACTTGTGAGGAGGAATCCCCACGTTACGGGTGGCACAGAGCGACTTTCCAACACTCTACCAATTCTCCAGATTGGTCCCGGAGCTCTTCGCAACACACATGTCGGAGCGTGGAAAAAGGGCCCAAAAAATTGTCTAACAGGTAGTAATTGAAATTCTATAATATATAAGTTTCAGAGGAAGGTAGAGTATGTATCGGGTGGACATAGGCTAGCTAGTAGCCCTCGACCACCCTATTCACATCTCAGAACCTTTAAGACTAATTTGCCGCGAAGTGTCTATGGCCCAATATAAAGGGTGAATGAGCTCCCGGCACCTCGGCGGGTCCTTATATACCTGCGGTACCCTCTCCCCAAAGTCATTAGCAAAATCGTCCGTTAGGTCAGGCGGGAAATTTTCGCGGGAGATTTTCGCGGGAGATTTCCGATATCGTAACACGGTATAATTTATCAATTTTCACAATTTTATTAAAAATTTATACTTCCGACAATTTGTTATAACATTGCATATAACAATTTATACGTTTTTACAATATTCTTCAATGGAAACATAGGTTTTAGCGTTCTCGTTACTTACTCGTGGTTAAATTAATTTCGTAGGGATTAAAAATCAGGTTGACCTGTGGTCGTAGATTAAAAATAACCATAGTACAGCTAAATTTATCGTGTTAAATAATTATTTTTACACGAATCAAAAATGTATTCAACGTTTGCTTGTAACAATACCATGAAATAAATTATATTATACGTTTTCTCCACCAAACTGGACAAAGTACAACTAGTACTTATCGAAATGATTTTTCTCTCTCGAAGAAATAGAGTTTGTATAGTGAGAACGTATAAATTGTTATATGCAATGTTATAACAAATTGTCGGAAGTATAAATTTATAACAAAATTGTGAAAATTGATAAATTACAATTCTGCCTGAATTTTTGAAATTCAGAAAAACACAGGTAAACTTCCATTGCATTTAAACGATATTCTCCACCAAACTGGACAAAGTACAACTAGTACTTATCGAAATGATTTATCTCTCTCGAAGAAATCGAGTTTGTATAGTGAGAACGTATAAATTGTTATATGCAATGTTATAACAAATTGTCGGAAGTATAAATTTATAACAAAATTGTGAAAATTGATAAATTACAATTCTGCCTGAATTTTTGAAATTCAGAAAAACACAGGTAAACTTCCATTGCATTTAAACGATATTCTCCACCAAACTGGACAAAGTACAGTAAATTCTCTACAAGAGTCAGTAAGTTTACTAATACACTTATACTTGAATAAATTGAGGTGAAAACAGTGTAACGACGTTCCTCACCCACCTCAACTCTAAGCACATATTTATCAGATAAACACCTTCCTATTCGCGAAATTTTACGAGTATACACGTACACCACGATATGAACACGTTCACGTTCATTATGTCGCACGTTTGTGGAAAAATATATGGATCGGAAAATTCACTCACCGTTCTCCGTCGTCGTTAAAGGCATAGTCCCCCAAGATGAGATCACGAAGTCGATATCTTGGTGGTAGAATCAGCGGTAAGCAAGGATCTGGTTCGTTCATTGTGCGCAACGCGTCCTCCAAATTGGAAAACTCCTTCGTGATTATTACGGTGTAGCCCTCGAAAATTTCGAGGGTATCACGAAAAAAATTATTCACTACCGATACCGTTACACTTTCGCGAGCTACATTTACACAATCACCGCGTGACACCCTGAAACGTAGAAAAAAAAAAGAAGATTAGATATAGGATTTGTATCAAGAGATAAGAAATACGAGAGAAATGTTTCAACTAAAACCAACAATATTAGATACAGTTAACAATAATGCTAACATGACGATCCTGGTTCTAATAAACAGACCTAGATAATCGCTAAATTATAAACTCCTGAAACATAAATTATTCAAATTCAAATTGCAGTATATAAAAATTCTGATTCTAATAAATAGACCTAGATAATTGCTAAATTATAAACTCCTAAAATATATATTATTAGAATTGAAATTGCAGTATATAAAAATTCGCAACAGAAAATAGTGTTTCTTCGAACGACGCAAGAATTAGGGAAGTCGACTGTCCTCGTAGATGCAAATTCGCGTAATTAAGAACCACCGCTCTCCTTCACGAAAAACTGAAGTACATTTATACACTTCCGGTGCATGTGCATATATTTATACGAATATACACTGTGTGTTATAACCATAAAACCACCTCAATATTTTCAATTCCCATATATTGTTGTTAAAATAATAACAAACGAAGTATGTCGCGTTTAAAAGCCTATTGAAAAACAATGTTTCCCCAGAAAATGGGAAAAACGGTAAGAAACTGATTTGTTGTGGTTTCATAACTATAACACATCTTACTACGACAAAAATAAACTTAGGATGCAATAAAACGATATAACATTAATGGAAGTATGACTAAACCGAAGTTCGAAGTCGAGTATTTAAAGTCTGATATTACGTGCCTAGCGAGTGC